TTCAATGTTATTTCCGGAATAGTGGTGAACCCCTGTCTTCGCTAACATCGCGTAGTACTCGATCTCAGACTTCCTCAGCGGCGGTGTATTGTTGGCAATGATCACCAGTTTTGCTTTGCCCTACAATCACGACAACAACACATTGTAATCAAATTCAATCAAATCATTCAAATGTATTCAAAATACCAGACGAAGTGTCTTAAGAGTCTGTTTATAACCGAAGCTATATTTGCCGGACTTCATCACTAGAGCTAACCGCGAGTTAATGCTCTCTAACGTCTTCTTCGACTTCTTCTCGGCCACCATTTCGATGATATTTCGATCGCTTCCTCGAGTTTAGGACTAAATTGTATGTAATATATAATATAATTGTCATTATTGTTAGCTTTCAATACATTTGTGCGCAAAACACGTGTCATAAGGTCTGTGAAGTGCGGAACCGCTTACAAGACATTCACAGGCCATGAATGACACCAATTCATAGCACATCTCATAGACATTGCATTCAATCAACTAATTTCGCCAAAAATGGCGTAAAATATGTATTGAATTAATAAATACTTACAATAATTAACACAATCAGTGCTGAACTCGTGTCCACACAAATGGCGATACAATAGGAAAGGCTGGGAATGGGTTTGCGATGCGATCGCAGAGACATCTGTCCCACACTTCACACCATTTCCTTTGAAAGTCAATTACGTTTACTAGTGCTGAACTCGTGTCCACACAAATGGCGATACAATAGGAAAGGCTGGGAATGGGTTTGCGATGCGATCGCAGAGACATCTGTCCCACACTTCACACCATTTCCTTTGAAAGTCAATTACGTTTACTTTGCGTTGGATTTTGTGTCACAAAAAGTGAACACAATTTCCCAAAAATGTAAATCCGATTAATAAACCAAAAAGAGTTCAATCCGTAAATCCAGTTCACAGTGGCCTCAAAGCACTGCTTTAATCATACAATCCATACAATTATAGCAATTATTTTTAGGTTAAGTTTTTTTCTGATAAACTTTCGATAGTTTTTACTTTCAATCAAACTTTGAATTAAAGCCTTTAATTGTCTTAATATTTGTACCAAATTTATGCCATAATTATTGAATTTTATTTACTAAATAATTTTCATATTTTAATATATTATAAGTTTTATAATTTAATTAATTATAAAGAATAGTCAAATAGGAAACACATTATGTAATCATTTCATAACAACATTATTGATGTATTTTATTAAAGCATTTGAAATCATAAACAAAACATTTGATACAAAACTAATTATAATTACAATTTAATTGCAAATTATGTCTAAATTAAAATCGGGCAAAAAGTTGGCCGAAAAGGTAATACATTCGACACCAATGGCTCTCTGGATATCCGCCGGTTTAGCACATCCCGGACCACCTCTTGGACCACAATTAGGACAGGTTTGCATCAAAAACACACAAATTTGTTGACAATTATTATTAATTCTGGTTTTACTTATGCTTTCACTCCGAAGAGAGGCATAAATATCTCACAGTTTTGTAAAGACTTTAATGAGAGGACTAAAGACATTAAACCGGGAGTTCCTCTGCCCTGCAATATATCCATTAATGTGAGTNATCAAAAACACACAAATTTGTTGACAATTATTATTAATTCTGGTTTTACTTATGCTTTCACTCCGAAGAGAGGCATAAATATCTCACAGTTTTGTAAAGACTTTAATGAGAGGACTAAAGACATTAAACCGGGAGTTCCTCTGCCCTGCAATATATCCATTAATGTGAGTATAGTTTGCATTTGAATCACCGTTTTGTCTGATCTATAATTGCCGATCGGATGCACTTAAAGGCCGACCGGAGCTATAATCTGGTGATCCGAGTGCCGCCCCTCACGTATTTCATACGCCAGGCCTCGGGCTCCGAGAGGGGAGCCATGAACTCAAGCAAAGAGACGGCCGGCTTCTTGACTGTCAAACACGTGTATGAGATCGCGAAAGTGAAGAGCACTGATCCCATGTATGACTGCGTCCCTCTCCAGAAGATTTGCGAAGACATCATTGAGTCGGCAAAGAGTTGCGGCATTAAAGTTGTCTACAAATTAGATGTCAACGAATACAAAGAGTTCTTAGAAGAGAGGAAAAGAGTAGTCGCGGAACAACTCAAAGAACTCGAAGATAAACGACAGGCGAAGATGTTGAGGACGGGCTAAGCCATCGGTTTGCCATATGTCATGTGTGTGTTTAGTAATCCATTTGTAGTCATAAATTATCATAGAGTTTATTATGAAATATAAAATGAATAAACAATTCAATGCAATATAAAATGCATTTAAATGAATGTCTAATTAATTGTTGATAAACTTCTTGCGCTCTCGAGTGGCGTTTCGTTTCCTCTTTTTCTCCAAATATTGTCTCAATTTTCCCGATTTCTTCAATTGTTTGTATTTCTCCACTAATTCTAACCGTTTTAGCGTTGCTTTAAATAGGAAAACATATTTAATAACAAATTGATATATCAATAGATATTTATTGCTTAAAGTATAGGAAAACTTACATTTGTTAACGAATGTGTTTTTACTACCGGTTTCTTCATTCAACTTATTTCTGACATTAGTTTCCAATTCTTTTCGGTTTTGTTTCATTTGTTCCGAAGTTTTTTGGTTTTTAATTCTCTGCAATAAATATTTCAATTCCTGTTTCTTCTCCTCATTGGCCGTCTTTTTAAGCATTTTCTTCAATTCATTCGTCTCTTTATCTCTGATATCATTGAGAAAACCATAGGTTTTACTGAAGACACTCTCCGAGAAGCGACCGCTTCCCTCTTCAAAGCGCGGATCCCTTCTTGAAATATAAAATGAATAAACAATTCAATGCAATATAAAATGCATTTAAATGAATGTCTAATTAATTGTTGATAAACTTCTTGCGCTCTCGAGTGGCGTTTCGTTTCCTCTTTTTCTCCAAATATTGCTTCAATTTTCCCGATTTCTTCAATTGTTTGTATTTCTCCACTAATTCTAACCGTTTTAGCGTTGCTTTTAATAGAAAAACATATTTAATAAAAAATTGATATATCAATAGATATTGAATGCTTAAAGTATAGAAAAACTTACATTTATTAACGAATGTGTTTTTACTACCGGTTTCTTCACTCAACTTATTTCTGACATTAGTTTCCAATTCTTTTCGGTTTTGTTTCATTTGTTCCGAAGTTTTTTGGTTTTTAATTCTCTGCAATAAATATTTCAATTCCTGTTTCTTCTCCTCATTGACAGTCTTTTTAAGCATTTTCTTCAATTCATTCGTCTCTTTATCTCTGATATCATTGAGAAAACCATAGGTTTTACTGAAGACACTCTCCGAGAAGCGACCGCTTCCCTCTTCAAAGCGCGGATCCCTTCTCTCGATGTCTTTGTTTTTCTTGATTTGAAACACTTCTCGCACTTGATTTACAGGTCTTTTCGATGATATCTCTTGCGGTCTATTCTTATTCACTCTTTTAAATGAGTTATCATTTCTTTTGGACTTATTTTTGGCAAAATTTGTATCAATTTTGCTGACAATTGTCTCGTTATAGCGTTTTGTTCCCAATTTGTCCGACAAGTTCAATAACTCTTCAAATGGTGTCTGAGATATGCCTAACAATCAAACAATCATTGAATAAATCATTCATTAAAATTTAATAATTAAAATTTAATTAAATCAATCATTGGTTCAAATGAGACAAAATACCCAAACGTATGGCCGACTCATTGGGATCTTCTGGTTCTTCGTATTCCTCCTCATTGTCTTCATTCATGTGTTCGTCGTTTTCCTCCATTTTATAACTCATTAAATAAACAACAATTTATTTAATAATTAATAAACAATTGAATTCAAAGTGAAAACAACACTAAAAATGCTTTCAAAACAAATCAACGTTTGTTTTTGGGAAAGCATTCATCACGTGATTCACTGCTAAACATTACTACATGTATAGCGTTATTAAATGTATCGTTATTTATCATTTTAAACTTAATTGTTAATTAAATTATACTAATTTATACATATTTAACACTTTAATATAATTATAAATGTATTGATTACACAATTTGTTTAATAATTATAAAGTTTAACGTAAATAAGAGCCGAAATGAAGTGTTAGTGACTGAAACTGTGAAAAGAGTGGTGTTTTGAGTGGTATATAAGGCTTTTGACTGTTTAAAGGGCTGGAAGTGTGTGTCTGTATCGACACGTCTGAACATCCGATCGCTAGTTCACAGCAGATCTGCTCAGCACTGGTGTCACTATCAGTCTCTCACACTTGTGTCTCCCGTTTGCACTCTTTGTCCGCACGGTTTGAGACTCACAGGGTTTCAGGGAATCGGACCCCCCTTTAGATAAGCTTACGGGGGGTTTAGGCCTCGAGTCCGCCTTTAAGACACTTCCATGTATTGGCCCCATAGGTGTTGGGTTGCCTTCCTTTTGCACAACCCCTCCAACGCTACCCAACACTACCCAACCCGAGCCAACACTAACTTTGTTTTGGTTTCGCTATTATATAAACACTGTTTGTTTGCATCAAATGTTTTACAGATTGTTTCCACACTTTTTCACAACTTTGTTATAATTATTTTCAGAGAATAAAATTATTGACCACTTATTTATGGCTTTTAAGCGTTAAGTAGTGTTGAGTTTAATTATATTTTTGATTGATTTTAATCAATGATTCAATTAATATAGCGATTACTCGAGATATGTATAGTTTATTGAAAACTTTGAAATTGTTTGGCAATAGTTTGCAAACAAATGGTGTCTTAACAGTAATGAGGGGTTTAAGTGGTGTAAGCGTCGGATCAACGGCTCAATTGTCCAAAACATTTACCGAAGAAGACGTGAAAGTGTTTGCGAGACTTACCGGTGATTACAATCCCATTCATTTGGACCATAAGTTTTGCTCCGAAACTCACTTTTCCAGACCTATAGTTCACGGAATGCTCGCTAATGGGTATTGAATCACATTTGGTTAACTTTTTTACTACATTTAGTACTCATTAGTTTAGTGTCGGCAGTGTTTGGGACAGTACTTCCCGGTCCCGGAGCTGTTGTGGTCAACCAAACCATTAACTTTACAAAACCCCGTAATTATCTTTTTGTTAAAAGTATTGAAATTTAATTTCTGACTAATTTTTGTGATTATTTACTGATAGTATACATCGGGGAAGAAGTTTGCGCTCAAATCACTGTCGTTAACATTAGGAAGCGATTCATTGATTGCAAATATGTTTGCTTCACAACTGATGGAAAAGTTAGTTTAATATAACTTTTAATTTATTTTTATTATAATTTTAACAAATTTATTGATTTAATAAATTCAGAATATAATGGACGGAACGGCGAAACTTGTCATGATTTGATTGTTTATATTTACAATTTAGAAATGTACATAAATATAATCTAATAAATGAATTATTTATACGATGGGAATGAGTTGTAAGTAGAGGTGAATGTGTTTTCATGGTTTAGTCTCTCTTTGAATACAATGAATGGAAACATTACATCCGAAATAAAGTATTAAAAGTGTGGGCAATAGTGGTGTCGGGAATGTGAAGAGAATCTGTTGGACAAAATGGTAGCCGACCTCCCAATTGGACAGAAAGAATATATTGGACACATAGGCAATGGCGAAGAACGGACTCGCGATCAATGCATTCAATCGCTCGTTCGCTGTGTCCGAGAGTTTGCACTGAAAATATAATAAATATTTGTCATTAGATATTAAAAGAATATAAAACTAGTTTTGAATTACTTGAACGGAAGTGATCCACACGTTTGACGACTGAACAGATTTGGCGATTATTTCTGCCGAAACACCGAAAAAGTTAAGTGACGTCCAAATAACGACCGCCCGATCCATACCATGCCATAAAGCAATGCATAAGAAACAGACAAAACCGGCAAAAACTTTTCGCATTGGATTCCATTGCGAACCGATTATGGGTTTATAGAAATAACTGCAAAAAACAATTAAATTAATTAAAACATTACTACAGTTTAGAGCTTTCATTGAATACTTAGTGAGCCATAAATGTAATCCTCGATCGAAAGTCCGCCACAAATAGACAGACGAATGGATACGACTAATACATTTGGGCGGCGCCGGCATTTCGAAGCCATCGATGGCCGCTATAGTGGCCACTGAGCCGTAGATTATGAAGTACTTAACGAAGAACATGAGGGGCAGTGCGAACCC